TGCTTAAGAGAAGCTGACACCTCCAAACTATACACCTGCAGCATCCCACGGGAATTCCACCTCTCATCCCTGTCCCTGAAACTTTGGAGATCGCTCAGCATGCAGCGAGCTCCACCCTCCTCCAACCTGCAGAGCTCCAGTGCTGGAATCCCCACCACAGCCCCCCAAAATGCCCTGCTGAGAGCGGGTACCTGGTTGCGGAGCTTGGTCCTGGGGTTTGGGGCGTAGCCAATGAATCCCACTTTCTTCATGGTTCGCAAAATCTCGGGATCTACGGGGGGGGCTCGCCTGCAAACACCCCCCGACTCAGAGCAGCATCTCTGACCCACCCAGAGGCCTCCTGGGTGTGCTTAGGGACTCAGCCTGAGGGTGGTCCCGAGTGCTCCCCCTCTCCAGTCCCTCCCCAGGTTCATTTTCCAACCCAACAGACCCCTGGGTTATGCCAGGGTAGGGCGGCAGTGCTGAGCACAGGTGGGTCAGGGACAGGCAGAGGGAAAACAAGGGTTTCCACATAGGTAGAACAGAGCTGGTGGGATCCCACTGGGATCTCCTCATCAGCAAGACTGAGGTCTGACTGTCTCCCAGTCTCCCACCGTCCTCACACCTGCCCAGTCGCTGCCCCTCGGCCGTTCCCATCCACTGCCAGGAACTCATCGGGCACTTCCCTGGGCAGGTGAGGAGGGAGGAGAGGCTGTTTTTCCTGGGAGAGGCCGGGAATTACCGCGGTGCCGGGGCGGAGTTGGCGGCGGGCCAGTCGGAGAGCAGCGTGTCGCTGGTCAGCGGCACCGGGATGAGCGAGAGCGGCACCAGGTCCTGGTTCCAGTCCAGGTGCGGCAGCGTGTCCACCATGCAGGGCAGGGCGAAGTCGGTCTCCCGGGAGTAGGCGTTGAAGGTGACCTCGGGGGAGTCGGCCCAGAGGTGGACACAGCCCTCGGAGTCCCCGAAGGCCAGCGCCTGTTTGCTGGCGGACACGTCGAAGGTCATGATGAGCGGCCCCACCATGTTCACGTGGAAGATGTCGGCGGGGTTGGCCAGCCCGGTGGGCTCGCAGAACTGGCACTGGCCTGGGGGAGAGCAAGTGCTTGGCCAGCCATCCTTGGATCGTGGAATGTCCATGGGATATCCATGGAAGGGACCCGTGAGGATCAAAGTTTAGCTCCTGGCCCTGCACAGGGAAACCCCAGAAGTCCTCCCAGTCCCCAAATCCAAACACCTGAGAGCACTGTCCAAAGACTCCCTGACCTCTAAAATTATGGAATATCCTGAGTCGGAAAGGACCCAGAAGGATCCTCCAGCCCAGGGCCGCGGCTTCACGCACCTGTCTGGGAGATGATGGCCAGGCGGGAGGTGTAGGTGGGGATGAAGCGCAGGAAGAAGGGGTCGATGTGGACCTGCAGGGGGGTGGTCGCCCGCATCATGCGCAGGTCGTAGACCTTGAGGAAGCGGTCGCAGGCCAGGCCGTTCATCCGGCTGGAGAAGCCACAGGTCACCAGGAGGTTCCCGTGGACGTCGAAGTCGGACAAGCTCCCGGAGTAGGCGTCGAACTCGTGCTCCACCACGAACGTGCGCAGGTCACGCAGGGACACCTGCGGGGGGATGGCGCTGGGTGCCAGTGCTCCGGAGCCCCCGGAGCTGTGGGAAGAGCTGGACCCCAACTCCAGGGGACCCCGGCAGGTCAGGCAGGGCTGCCATTACCTTCCCTGAGGTGTGCCCGCAGAAGAAGAAGCGGTTCGACTGCCTCATGATGGTGATGCCGGGCACCTCCACGGTGTACTGGGAGGGGGGCGGGAAGCGGGATGAGCAGGGATGAACCCCGGAGCAAAGCTCCAGGGAGCAGCCCCCGGCCCAGCCATACCTTCTGAGTCTCCTGGACGGTGTTGAGGTCGATCTCGAGGACGTGGTTCTGCAGCCCGGCCACGAGCAGGGTGCTGCTGTCCGTCAGCAGGAGGCTGTGCATGTCCTCGGACTCATCCATGCTGCGGGAGAGGACAGGACACCCTCACGCTCCTGCCCCGCTCCAGGAGGCAGCAGGGAAGGGGTGGCAGGGGGGCAGAGGGGCCAGAGACCACCCTCCCAGCACGGGGGCAGCGGGGGGAGGACTCACAGGTAGTCAAAAATGATGAGGCCGCCCCGCGACATGTACTTGAGGTTGGTTTTGGTGAGGAAGAGGACGCCGTTCTCCAGGCTCTGGATCTGGCGGATGTCGTCGCTGCTGTTCACTTGGAAGGAGGAATATCGCTCCAGGGTGGGGCCGAAGAAGGAGGTGGCGTGGCCCTAAACACAGAGGGGCAGGGATGTCACAGCCCACCCCATGTGGGGATGGAACTGGATGATCCTTACGCTCCCTCCCAACCCAAACCACTCCACGATTCCATCAAATTCCCTGCCCCCCAGGTTTCCCCCCGTGACCTCCCCACGTACCCCGTGGTTCCCGACCCAGAGCATCTCCTCGTGCAGGTCGAAGTGGGACACGGAGACGGGCACCCCGACCTCGGACACGGCCGTGTGCAGCTCGCTGTACATGCCCTCCATCAGGTGCACCGACTCTGGCACCGGGATGCCCTCCAGGGACACCCCCTCGGGGTCCAGCTCCACCAGGCTGGGGTTGAGGTGGGGGTCCAGGACAGGGTCCAGCGCGGGGTGCAGGGGCGGCGCGAACTCGGCCAGGGAGGGGTTGAGCCCTTCGAAATTCATGGTGAACGCTGGCGGCCCTGGGGACAGAAAAGGAACCAGAGGTGCTTGGTCAGGAACACCCAGAGCCGCCGGTTCTTGGAATCGGTGACCCCGGGGACGGGAACCGCAGCTGGAATGTCCAGGGAGTGTGGGGTGCAGGGCTCTGCCAGGACACCGAGGACACTGGGGCCGTAAACTCCCCCCCAGGACACGCTCAGAGCCCCGTCACGGTCGGGAGGAGCTTGTGATGACCCCTGGACCAGGGGGAACCGGACAGTGGTCCCGGGAGACTGGGCAGTGGTCCTAGGACACCGGGCAGCTGCCTGAGGAACCGGGAAGGAGGCCCAGCGTACCGGGCAGCCTCCCCGGGGTACCAGACAGGGCTCGAGAGCACAGGTAGCTGCCTGGGCAGACGGGAAGCAGCCCTGGGGTCCCGGGCACCCCCCAGGGCACCGGGCAGTGGTCCCAGGCTGCACGGGACGCCGAGCCCCACCCGGCGCTCGGGGCCCCGCCCTGCCCCACCCCTGGCAGCTCCGGGCCAAGCTCCGCACCCTCCGCCTTTATCTCTACGAGCCGACACCGAGCGCGCCGGGGGTATCTGCGGCCGCAGCCCCGGGCGGAGCCCGAGGGGCCCGGCCCCACCGGCCCCGGCCCGAGCGGACGCTCTCTCCGAGCTCGGGGCGGCCGCCACCCCTCACCCCGCCGCGCCTGCCTCACCGAGCCGCCGCCGAGGCCGGGCCGGGCCGGGCCGCGCTGCCGGTGCCGCCGCCGCTGCCGGGCTGGTCCCGCCGGGCCGGGCCGGGCCGGGCCGGGGCCGCTCCCGCCGTCGCTACGGCAACCGCGCCCCCGCCCGCGGCCGGCCAATGGCAGCGCGGGGCGCCGCGCGCGGGCCAATCAGCGCCGGGGCGGGGCGGGACGAAGCGGCGCGGCGGGACGGGGCGGCGGAGGGGCCAGAAAGGCTGGACGCGGCCGGGGCGGGGCGGGGGAGCCCCGGCGGGACCCCCCAGCTCCTGGCTGGTTCGCGGACCCCCGGGCGCTGCCGGTCGCTGTGGCACCTGCGGCGGGCCGCGAGCTCCCACGGATGTCACGCAGCGTCCTCGGAAACCCCAGTGTACCCCACGGGGTCCCACCGTGTTCTCTGATACCCTGGACACCCCACGGGGTCCCCACGGTGCTCCACAGTGCCCCACGGGGTCCCACCGCGTGCCCTGCACCCCGCGGGATCCTAAAGTATCCTCAAGTACCCCACAGTGTCCCTCGCAACCCCCTGGCATCCCACCGTACCCACTCGTGTCACAGAGCAGCCCGTGGCGTCCCACTGAGCCCGCGGGGTCCCACTCTGCCCCCCAGCACCCCACGGGATTCCAAAAGTGTCCCTAAATTCCCCACAGTGTCCCACGGTGTCCTCAGCGTCCCACTGTTCCACGGAGTCCCACAGTGTCCCATGGGATTCTGTAACATCCCAGGGGTCCATCGCGTCCCGTGGCACCTCACGGGATCCCAAAGCATCCCTAAACACCCCATAGTGTCCCACGCAGCCCCGTGGAATCCCACAGCGTCCACCGGTGTCCCACGGGGTCCCGCAGGGTCCCAGGGGGTCCCCGGACAGGGCACCGCGGTGCTGAGCCCCACCGGCTCCGGCCTCCCCCGTGTCCCCCCTCCCAGACCCACGGCGGCCCCGCCGCCGGCGCCCGTGCCCGGGGAAGGCCGGGGGCAGCCCCGCCGGGCGGGAGCGGGAAGCGCCGGAGCCGCCCCGTCGGGGCCGCCGGGATTGCAGCACGTCCCGGTCCGGCCCGCAGGGCACCGGGCGCATCCGAGCCCCGATGAGACCCCCGGGGCCGCGGGGAGCCGCCGGCTGATGGCCCGGGGAGGCCGGGGGACACGGGGGACACCGGGAGGGACACCAGGAGGGACAGCGAGGGGACCCCAGGGACACACGAGGAACACCGGAGGGGACACGGGGGGACACAGCGGGGGATCCACCGAGGTGACACGGCCGCGGGCTCCCCGGTGCGCCCGTGGGGGGCAGCCCAGGTGCACCGAGGGGAGGTCCCGGTGCCGGTGCCTCCCATCCCGCTGGGCGCGGAGCCGCCAGGAACTGCCCCGGGTTTTCCTGCGCGTCCCGTCCCATCCCGTCCTGTCCCGGTGGGGAGCGGGGCCGGGCGCGGCCAGGGGACCCCGGCCCGGTATCGGTTCTGCTTTCGAGGGAGGCGATTTCGCAGTAACGGGGGGCGGGAGCCACCTGCCCCGGGGATTCCCCACCTGCCGCCGCCCCATAAGAACCCGGTGGCAGCGCCGGTGGCGGCATCGACCGGGAACGACCGGGAATGGCTCCGCTCCGCCGCCTCTGCCTCTGCCTCTGCCTCCCGCTGCTGCTGCCGCCGCCCGCGGCTCCGGCCCCGACCCCGGCCCCGGTGTCCCGCACCGACTGGGCCGCCTGCAGGATCCTCTCCCGGGACCTGTCGCGGCTGCTGGCGACCGTCAAAGAACCGCACTCGGTGCTGGTGAGCGCGGGGGCTCGGCCAGGGGAACCGGGGGGGTTACGAGGGCCGGGAGGCACCGGGAGGTGTGGAGCATCCCGGCGGGAGGGGGGTCCCGAGGGTGCGGGCAGCCGGAGAGGCCCGGGGATGTGGAGAGCTCACTGACCACCCGCTCCAGGAGGAGATGCAGCTGAGCGAGGAGGACCCCCAGAACTGGCCCCCCCGGATCCACTGCAGTGACGCCTGTGACCCCCCCACGCTGGACACCAACAACACGGTACTGGGGGCCAGGGGGCTGCCGGGAAGCATGAGGAGGGCTGGGGGGGCCCAGCAATGCTGAGGGATGTGCCTGAGGGTCCCAGGGATGTCTGGGGGTCTCGGGGATGCACCTTGGGGTCCCAGGGGTGACCATGGATCCCAGGGATGCTGAGGGCTATGTCTGGGGGTCCCAGGGATTCTGAGGGTGTCTGGAGGTCCCAGGGATGTCTGGGGGTCTCAGGCATGCTGAGGGATGTGCCCAAGGGTCCTGGGGATGTCTGGGGGTGCCAGGGATGCTGAGAGATGCACTGGGAGCTCCCAGGGATGTTTGAGGATCCCACGGATACTGAGGGATGTGCCTGGGGTTCCCAAGAGCACCCAGGGGTGTGGGAGGGTCCCAGACCCCCATCTCACCCCCCCTGCCCCCTGCAGCGCTGCCTGCACCGGATCCTCCAGGTGCTCCAGCACTACCGGGACCTGCTGGGCTCTGACATCTTCAGGGAGCAGCCGCAACCCCAGCTGGAGACCACGATGGACCAGCTGCTGGGCCTCGTCCAGGTGAGGGGGAGGGAGGGTGGGAGCCCCGAGGGAGCCCGGCGGGGGCACAGCGCCCATCAGCTGCAGCCCTGGACCCCCTGACACCCCTCTCCCCGCAGCAGGAGCACGGCCACCCCCCCCGGCACCCCATGGCCCCCAGTGCCACCTGGTCTCACCAGCTGCTCCGGCACCGGGCCCTGAAGCGGCTCCGCTCCTTCGCCGCCGTCATGAGCCGCGTCTTCACCCACAGCGCCAGCGCCCGCTGAGCCCCGAGGCTCCCACCCCCCCTATTTATTCCCTCCCTCTCAAGGGGTTATTTATGTGCTCCATTCCCCACTATTTATGTGCTCCATTCCCTATTTATCTCGGGTATTTATGACTTTCTAATAAAGCTCTGGAGGAGACAAAGCGGCTCCCGCGCAATGGGCGGCACGGGCGGGGGTGGGTGGGAAGGGGTTTATTTACAGGGGAGGAGGGGCCGGGGGAAGTCACTGGAAGTCACTGGCGTCGATATGGAGGGGGGGGAAGTCGGTGGAGGCGAAGAGAGAGTTGACAGCGGGCAGAGCCGAGTCCTCAGGCTGCGGCAGGAACGGGTCACGGTGGTCCAGGAGCGCGGCGGTGCCTGGGAGGGGAGGGGGCACCTCTGGGACCCTCAGGCACAGCCCTCAGCACTCCTGGGACCCCCGGGCATCCCTGGGCTTCCCAGGTGCATCCCTGAGAATCCCTGGGAACTCCAGACACCCCTGGGATCCCCAGGTGCATCCCTCACCCCAGCACTCACCTGCCAGCCCAGGATCCAGCTGGGGCCTCCCGTCCAAGCTTTCCAGCATGTTTGGCATCAGCTCCGCTGCCTCCCGCGTCTCCAGGACCCCTGAGTCTGGCTCCTCCAGCGACTGCAGCAGCTCCTGGAAGTCAGGGCTCCCGGGCAGCAGCTCCAGGTCCCTCAGCTCTGCTGGCAGCATCCCCTGGTCCTCGGTGACCTGCAGTGGCTCCACAGCCCCCGACCTGGGCTGCAGCATCCCTGTCTTCTCAGCTCCCACTTGTTGCAGCATCCCTGTATCCACAGCTCCCACTTGTTGCAGCATCCCTGTACCCACAGCTCCCACTTGTTGCAGCATCCCCGTGTCCACAGCCACTGTCCTCTGGTCCCCTGGCAGCACCTGCAGTGTTCCCAAGTCCCCTGGTCCCACCTGCAGCATCCCCAGCCCCCAGGCAGTACCTGTATATTCCCCACAGCCCCTGGTGCCACTTGCAGTGTCCCCTGGATGTTGGGGACCACCTGCACCACCACTTCTGAGCCCCTGATCCCACCTGCAGTGTTTGTGGTGGCTCCAGGCATTGGGCCCCTGATTGAAGTGTCCCCAAGCCCCCGGGCTGCAGCATCCCCGGGCTCATGGCCACTCCCTGAGGTGTCCCCAGGTTTCCTGGGGAGACCTGTGGATTCCCTGGGCTCTGGGGCTGTGGCAGTGCCAGGCCACCATCCCACTTTGCCCCCTGTCCTCCGGGCTGCAGCTGCAGCGTCTCCAGGTTCTCGGTGGCAACCACCAGCTCTTCTTCCGTCTGCCACGACTTATTTGCCTGCCTGGAGGAAGGGACAGCGGGTCAGGGTTGGGATCAGGGTCAGGGTATCCCCTTTCCTCTGGGGTCCAAGCCCCCAAGTCCAGGACCATGGGGAGATGGGGGACAGGGAAGGGGGACCGAGGCTTCCCCCCCTCACCTGGAGGACACACGGATGAGGCGCCGGTTCAGGTACTTCTCTGGCTCTGTCAGGTTCCCTGGGGGAAGAGAGGAGGCTCAGAAGGGGTGGCAAGTGCTCTCCCTGCCCTGTGCCGTGCCAGCCGTGCCATGCTGTGCCGTACCCTCCTGCCGCTGGCTGTAGTAGGGCCCGAAGGCCTTGTCTCGGGCGATGTTGGGATACAGGAACTGGAGGGGGTTCTCGGGAACGTTCTCCTCCATCATCATCTGGTAGTCACGGATGATGTCGGGCAGGGCCAGGGACGCCAGCTCGGCCGCCGTGTACGGATCCACCGAGTGGAAAGTGGGGGATCCTGCAGGGCCCCCGGGGGTCAGTGCCCAGGGCGGGCTGAGGGGCTGGAGCCCGGGGCTGGGGGGGTGCACTCACCGCTCTCAGGATGCTCCACCCAGGTGCAGGTGACCCCCCCCAGGGTGCTCTCGCTGAACCGGATCAGGAACGTCCCCGTTTTCTTCGACTTCAGCAGTTTCCTCTCTTGTTTCCGGCTCACGAAGCCCAGGATGAGTCTGGGGGAGGCACCGTCAGCCCCTGCAACCCCCGGGTCCCCCAGCCCCCAGCCCTGCTCCTACCCGTCCTTCCAGAGCTGCTTGAGGTGCTCCTGGAGCAGCCCCAGGATCCCGTCCAGCCAAGCCCAGAAGGAGAAGCTGGCGGCGCCGTCCTGAGAGAGATGTGGGTGAGAGGGGATGGGGGGGCCAGGGGAGGATGGGGCCATGGGGGGCTTGAGAGGACAGGGTCATGGGGGGACGGCGACAGGGGTGACAGGCTCTGCTCACCTTGGAGAACTTGGGCCAGGTCACCACGGCACTCTCTAGTGATGTCTTCGAGCCTTGGAGGCGAGAGCAGGGTGAGCAGAGGGATGGCACAGCCCCAGAGCAGGGTGAGCAGAGGGATGGCACAGCCCCAGCCCCAGAGCAGGGTGAGCAGAGGGATGGCACAGCCCCAGAGCAGGGTGAGCAGAGGGATGGCACAGCCCCAGCCCCAGAGCAGGGTGAGCAGAGGGATGGCACAGCCCCAGCCCCGTCGTTCCCCCCCGAGGTCGGCGCTGGCTCCCAGCCTTACCAAAGAGCTTCTCGGCCAGCATGAGGAGGTGGTCTTGGCTCAGCCCCCTCTCTGCCACGCTCTCAAACTGCCAGCTCAGCACCTCGGCCAGACGGGGCCACGGCGCTGAGGGCGGCGCCGAGAAAAACTGCTGGGCCTGCAGGACAGGGGGTGAGCGGGGACAGGGACATGGGGCAGGGGACAGGGACATGGGGCAGGGGACAGGGATGGGACAGGGACCAGGGGACACGGATGTGTGGCTGGGGACGGGGATGAGCACTGGGGCAGGGGACAGGGACCAAGGCACAGATACAGGACAGCAATCAGGGGATGGGGACAGGACAGGGACCAGGCAGAGAAGGGAGAGGGTACAGAGCAATCAACAGCACGAACAGGGACCAGGAACCTGGCACAGGATGGAGGTCGGGTGAGGAGCAGGGATGGGGATGGGACAAGGACCAGGACAGGGGGGCACGGGGTAGGAGATGGCAGGGATGGGAGCACTGGGGGACAGTGCAGGGCTGGGGGTCCTGCTCGCCTCGGGGTCAGAGCTGAGCATGTTGAACCATAGGATGGAGGCCCAGGCGCTGGAGAACTGGTTGTTGTTGGAGATGATGACGAAGGGCAGCGTAGAGGTCTGTAGGGGGCAGGAGGGTCAGGCTGGCAGCCCCCAGTCCCCCCAGCTCCCCCAAGCCCCACAGGCTCCCCCAGGCCCCCCAAGCCCCCCAGCCCTCACCTTCAGCTCCAGCTCCAGCCCACAGTAGGCGTAGGCCAGCGTGAAGGTGATGAGGTGCAGCTCCTCTGTCACAACCAGGGGACTCTGGAAGGAGGTGGCACTGTGATCACCACGTGGCCCCAGCCCCCACTGCGTCCCCACAGCCCCCAGCCCCACACCCACCTCGCCGGCGCCTTTGCTGCCCTTGCCAGACCTGCTGTCCTTCTGCTCCTTCAGTGTCTGCGGGGCAGGGCAGAGTCAGCGCGGGGCGGGGGCTGGGGCTGGGCGGGGGTCCTCGCCCCGCTCCCCGCCCCTGCTGGGGACCTGGGGGTCTGGGGGGGGGGCCCCTACGAGGTACTGGAAGTCGCAGACCAGCCCCTCCTGGGGACTGTCCCCGGCCAGGAGCGTTTTGCTGCTCGACGTCAGGATGTTGAACTTGCGAAACCTGCGGGGCAGAGAGAGGCGGCGGGCGGGGGGTCCTGGACCCCCGGCCAGGGGGGGCACAGTCCCGTCCACCACCTCCAGTGCTCGCCCGGCTCTCACCCTTTGACCTTGGGGGGGTCCCTGCAAGAGAGAGCGGGGTGTCAGCGGGGCGGCGGGACCCCCGTGGGCGGGCAGGGGGCTGGTGGGGGTCCCGACCTGTCGATGTGGATCGTGGCCTCCATGCGGTGGTTGCGGTCGTGCAGCCGCACGAGCAGGCGGGCGCGGGCAGAGAACTTGCTGTTGGTCCGGAGCACGAGCGGGCGCTTGAAGGGGTTGGGGGTGCTGGGCTGCTGCTCCACCACGAAGGCGCTGGGGCAGGGAGAGGGTCAGGGCTGCCCCGGCACCGTCCCGGCCCCTCCGGCCCCACCCGCGCTGCCCCCACCTCTCAGAATGGTGGAATACCCTGAGCTGGAAAGGCCCACAAGGATCAAAGTCCAACCCCTGGCCCTGCACGGGATGACTCCAAAATCCCACCATGCCCTTAGAGCGTTGTCCAAACACTCCTCGAGCTCTGGCAGCCTCGGGGCCACAACCACTGCCCTGGGGAGCCTGTTCAGTGCCCGACCACCCTCTGGGGGAACAACCTTTTCCCAATATCTAGCACTGACGCATCCCCAGCCATTTACATCCACTCTCCTACCTCTTCAGCAGGTGTGTGAGCTGCTCCTGCAGCCGCTGCTCCAGGAGGGGGGTCTCTGCTACCAGCGGGTCCCTCTCGTAGGTCACCTTCTGCTGCAGGTCACCCAGTGCCCGGAGCAGCTTCCGCAGCTGGAACAGCCCCTGGCCCAGCTCCGTGAACCTGCGGGTGCCACGGGGCTCAGTGGGGTCCTGCTGTGACCCCCCATGCCCCCCTCCCAGCCCGGCCCTACCAGGTCTCCAGTGGACGCAGGTGGGTGTCAGCCGGGGCCCCCAGGCACGAGCGCTGCTGCCGCTCCCGCCAGTCCCCCAACTCCTGCTGCAGCAGCCCCCGCAGGGTCTCGCTGCGCCCCAAGAGCTGCTGCATCTGAGCCAGCACCTCCTGGGGACACACGTGGGTCTGAGCAGGGGGCGAGGAGTACCCGTGGCCCCCCAAGCCCAGCCCGGCCCCCCCTCACCCGCCGCTGCTGGTCCAGGTTCTGCAGCTTGGCCTGGAGGGCTTGGAGCTGCCGGGCGTACTGGGGGTCCCTGCTCCTGTCCTCACCTGTGGGCAGGTGGGGGGCTCAGGGGGGCTCAGAGGGGGCGCAGGGCAGCGCCATCCCCCCTGTCCCCCTGGGATGGGGCTCACCTGGCTGGTAGTGCACCTTGTAGCAGAAGTCAAAGGCGTCCTGCAGGTCCTCCAGGTGCCGGAAGGCACGTTCGGCCTCCTGTGGGCAGAGGGGGGTCAGGGGGGCCTAGGTAGACCCTGGGGGCCGGGGGAGCCCGGGGAGGATCCGTTACCTGCAGGGCCGTGTGGAACTCGGCCAAGCGCCGCTGGATCTGCTGCTCCCGCCCGCTCTCCGGGGCCGTGGTGGGCGCCAGCACCAACCCCCTCTGCAGAGACACGGGGTGTCAGGTAGCGGCCCCAGGACCCCACCGGGTGAGGGGGGGACACCCCTGCCCTACCTGCCCACCCGCCTGCCCCAGGCGCAGGATCCGCTGCTCCTCCTGCAGCAGGTTGGCCACCAGGTTGGCGAATTTCTCTGGATTCTCCTCGAACTCGGCCTGCAGAGGGGCCGGGGGAGTCAGCGGGGCACAGCCCCCCGGCCCCTCTCCCTCAGCCCCCGCCCCGGCCCTGACGCCCACCTGGAGCTCCCGGTGGGCCTTTCGCAGGTTGTGCTCCAGTATGAAATCCTCGTGGTTCGTGCCCAGGCTGCCCAGCTGATCCAAAAGGAGCATCAGCAAGGATTGGAAGAGTATCCGGGCATGGGATGAGAGCGGCTCGGCCGCCTGGCGCCTGCGGCACGGGGGGCTCAGTGTCGGCACGGCCCGTGGCCCCCCCAGTGCACCCCCAGCCCCGGCCCCCCGTTACCAGTTCTGGTCCTCGATCCAGGCGGCCAAGCACTGGCGCACGGCCATGGGCAGCTCCGAGCTCGCGTACAGCTGGTGCACCTGCTCCAGGTACGTGTTGGCCAGGCCCTGCACCTCCTGCCACTGCGCCATGCTGGGGGACGAGGGGTGGTCAGGGGGCCCACTGCACAGCCGGAGGATGTGGAGCCAGTGCCCACGTGCCCTGACCTGGCACACCCGCACCTCACCTACCTGCTGCAGCACGGGGGTCCCGGGGGTCCCTCAGCTCTGGCTCGGCCCCGGCTGATCCTGGGGCTCCTTCTGCTCCAGGCAAGGGTTGAGCCACGGTGGGTTTCCCACCTGGGGCGGGGGGCACACGTCCCACCCCATCCCCACCCCATCCCCACCCCGAGGGCCCCCAGCACCCCCTGTGCAGCCCCCCAGGCCCCTCCCAAGGTCCTCCTAGCCTGGTCCCCCCATTGCACCCCCAGGGATCCCGGGAGCAGATGCCCCTAAACACCTCTCGCCGCAGGGGGATACCCCCAAGAGACCACCCGATGGCGATGCCTGCGTGCCCCAGCCGGGACCCCCTGTCTGTGCCCCCCTCCCCCGGGAGCCCCAGTCCCCCGGGACCCCTCGGAACCGCCTCTACCCCCCGGGACTCCCCCTCACCCAGGACCCACCGGGACCTTCAGTCCCTCAGGACACTCCGGGAACCCCAAGACCAGCTCGAGACCTCCCTGGGACCCCCCGGGACCCCCCGGGACCCCCATCCCGGACCCACCTCGGCCGCTGCCGGGTCAGGAACGCGCAGAGGCCGCGCCCCCTCCCCGCTCTGCGCCGTGATTGGCGGAGCGCGGCGGCGAGGCCCCGCCCCTCCCTCGTCTGCCTCGTGATTGGCGGAATGAGGCAGCGAGGCCACGCCCCCTCGGACAGACTTTCAGAGGGTTTGCCCATTTCCCCGGTTTGACGTCACGCGATGGGCGCGGTCAGAGAGGGCGCGGCCAGAGGGGGCGTGGCCAGCGTCCTGTCGGGGGATGGAAACGGGAGTGGGGACAGAACTGTGGGGACAGGGACAGGCTGCAGAGAAAGGGAGAGAGCCGCGAGGAGAGGGCAGTGGGGACAGAACTGTGGGGACAGGGACAGGCTGCAGAGAAAGGGAGAGAGCCACGAGGAGAGGGCAGTGGGGACAGAACTGTGGGGACAGGGACAGGCTGCAGAGAAAGGGAGAGAGCCGCGAGGAGAGGGCAGTGGGGACAGAACTGTGGGGACAGGGACAGGCTGCAGAGAAAGGGAGAGAGCCACGAGGAGAGGGCAGTGGGGACAGACTATGTGGCCACTGGGCTGAGGGGACAGGGTTGGGGCCATGGGGACGGGGACAGGTCATGGGGACAGCGGGGACAGAGGCACAGGGCCTGGGACGCTGGGCAGGACAGGGACAGAGCAGCTGCCAACACGTGGCTCAGCAAGGCCACCCCCGGAGTCAAGGTCCGTGTGCCCCAGCACAGGGTGACCCTGCACTGATCCAATGGGGACAGGGACACTCTGCCAGCTCCAGCACGTGGCCTTTATTCAGATGATGATGGCGGAGCCGCTGTGAGCAGTGGGCACCGGCGGGGGGTCCCCGGCCGAGGTGAAGTACCCGATGAGCGCCCGCACCCCGGCCTTGAGCCCCGGCTGCAGCCCCAGCTGCACCCCCATGGCCACGGGGCCGCCGAGGCCCCCGGTGAGCGCGGCCAGCCCGGCGTAGCCCAGGTCCTCGGTGGCCTCCAGCGCCCGTGCCGAGGCTGTGGCGCTGCAGCCCTGGAAGGCGAAGTAGACGCTGGTGCCCAGGTTGTAGAAGATGCTGACGCCGGGCACCCACTCCAGCACCCGGTGGGCTTCCTGCTCCCCCGGTGGGTTGCAGGCGTCCTCAGCTTCACCCTCGCCCTCGCGCCGGCGCCGGGACAGCCGGCGGCACAGGGACAGCCAGGCCCCCGGGACCCTCCCCGCCGAGGGTGCTGTGGGCTGGGTGCCGGGCGCGGGGGTCCCGAGCAGGGTGGGATCCACGCAGGCAGAGCCCCCTGGCCGCGCCAGGCTGAGGAGAAGCAGGGACAGGGGCCGGGGGGCCGGGCCTTCCCGCAGCCGCGCCAGCCCCCGCAGCACTGCTGTGGCCACGGGGGTGCCCAGCTCCCCTGCCAGCCCCAGCGCCTCGGCCTCGGCCTCGGCCACGCAGCCGGCCCCGTTCAGCGCCAGCACCAGCGCGGCGCGGGCCAGGGCGTGGGGCTCTGGCGGCAGCCGGGAGAAGCCGGGCAGGGCCTTGGGGCCCAGGTCCTGGCACGGGATAGCCGCGCCTGCGTCGGGATGGGACCCGCCAGCTCCGCCAGCAGCGCCCGCAGCCGGTCACCGGCACCCGGCCCGGGGTCCGCGTCCTCAGAGACAGCAGCGGTGGCGCTGAGGAAGAGGAGGGGAAGGAGGAGCAGAACCCGGGGCATGGCGGCAGATCCAGGACAGGCTGTGGAGGCGGCAGAAGGCAGAGCCCCATCAGCCCCCTGTGGCCACAGCCCCCCATGGCCCCCCGGTGTCCCCAGCTCACCCGCTCGCCGCTGTCACCGTTCCTGCCCTGGCCAGATGCCACTGTCCCTTGCCCCGTGGGGCGGCTGCAGCCACAGCCGCCCCCGCGGCCCCTTTATAGCCCCTCTTATCAGGGGGTTGCGACACGCGGGGCCCGGTGCAGGGACAGGGACCAGGGACGGGGCACTCCCTGTGGTCAGAGCGGCTCGACCCCCCAGCTCCAGCTCCCCCCAGCCCCACTCACCAGGGATGGCCAACAGTCACGTTTGTTTATTTGGGCCCTGTCCAGATTTAAAAGGTTTAAAAGGAAAACAAACCCAAACAGCCGAGGAAAAAGGAATTTGAGGTAAAACAGGGAGATGAAGACACCAAAGGAGGGGGATGGGGGAGCAGCAACTGGCTGCTTGTGCAACCCTTAAAAACTGGATCAAAACCTGCAGAAAACCCCAGAAAACCTGCAGAAACCCCAGAAAACAGCCCAGTGGCTGGGCACAGGCGGATAAGAGAAGCCACTCAACCCTCCTCCTCATCCTCCTCTTCCTCCAGGCAGCGGACACGCTTCCGCCTCCCCCGGGGCTGTGGGCCCTCGTCCTCCTCATCCTCCTCGGAGCAGGGGGCTGCAGGGGCCAGCCCAGCACCTGTGGGTGGAGGAAGAGGAGAGGGAGCTGAGCTCCCAGCCAGGGGGTGAGGGGAGTGGGGGTACCCCTCTGCCCCTCCACCACCTCCCCAGCCCAAGGGACGGGGCAAAGGGGCTGGGGACAGGACAACCACGACCCAGCAGTGCCCCATGCCCAGCTCCTGGTGACACCCAGAGCCCCCTCAGCCCCACAGGAGAGAGCGGAGGGGCTGAACCCACCTGAGCTCCCGCCGTCCTCATCCTCACTGTCGAGCTCCCGGCACCTCTTGGTGCCCGACTGCGCCGGGCTGGGGACAGGGACAGGGACCAGCTCCTCGCTGCAGCCATGGGGACAGGGGTTGGCACCGCTCAGCCCAACACTGGGAGAGTGCAGGGGACCAGATCCCCTCCCCAGGCAGGGGCAGGACCCCCAAATCAGGAAGACCCCCAACTTGGGGGGAGGATCCTCGTCTCACCTCTCTGAGTCCAATCCCAGCTCTGCCGGCAGCTGCTCTGCTGAGGGGCACAAGGAGAGCAGCTCGGGGCCATCCCCACTGGTGGGGGCCCCACACCCCCAGCCCGGCCCCTCACCTGCACCTGGGTCCTGGGGGCACTTGGGTGGCTCTGGCAGGTCCTGGGGGGATCCTGAGGGGTCAGGGCCGTGGTGGGCAACGGAGGCCGCTGCACGTCGGAGCCGCTGCGGGGTGAGGGAAGCTGGGATGCGCCAGAAGGATTCCTGGGAAGAGAGGGGGACACTGCAGAGCTGTGCCAGGAGCAAGGGGACAGGGGTGGGCACAGGGACAGGGATGGGCACAGAGACAGGGGTGGGCACAGGCACAGGGGTGGGCACAGGGAGCTCACCTGCTCGCTGGCGGGGGGCCGGAGCCCCAGCTGCCGCAACAGGGCCTGGAAGCGCCGGTTCTCCATGGCATCCTCGTTCTCCTCCGTGAGCGGCACCAGCGGCACCGGGTGGGACACGCCTGGGCCGAGAGTGCCGTCAGCGGGACCCTCCGACCCCACAGCCCCCCCCGAGCCCCACCCGCTCACCGTCCTGCTCGCGGTCCTGCGCCGCCCTCCGCAGACAGTTCTGCAGCCACCGCAGGGGCCCGGCCAGGCCTGGGGACAGCAGGAGGTGACACAGGGTCCGGCCCCGGAGCCAAGCCCAACCGGGGGGGTCAGAGCCTCTCACCCACCTTCCTGATGCAGATGCTGAGCCAGGCCCTGCCCAGCCCCTTCCTCAGGTGCCCAGTTCTCCTCCACGGGGCTGCTGTCCACTTCATCCTCCTCATCCTCCTCCTCCTCGCTGTCCTCATCCTCTGCTGAGCTGTCCTGGGCTGGCACAGCCGGCACGCCGGCGACAGCCTGTGGGAACCAGCCGTGTTCAGGTGCCTGGGGTGGAGCAGCACCCGCTGGGCACAGCCCAGAGTCCCCCAGCCCTACTTTTACCTGCCCGTGGCCGTGGCTCTTCCTCCGGCGTTTCTTGTACAGCTCCTTGCGCTCCGACACCAGCCCCAGCCCCAGCAGCTTCTCCACCACCCGAGCCCGCGACCGCCGCGCCGTCAGGTGCTTCATGATGTTCCCCAGGACATCTGCAGGGCAGGGGGTCAGGGTGGAGAACTACATGGGGGCCACCCCCTGTTCACCCCAGCCCCGCTCACCATCCGAGCCCTGGAATTCCTCAAAAAGCCGTGTCAGCTCCTCCTCCTGGTCCTGCGTCCACAGTACGATGCGGGTGCCCTTCCTGGGGGAACTCGAGGCTGTGGGTGCCTGCTCCAGGGTGAGGTGGGTCCCTGCCCCAGCCTGGGGTTCCCCTGTGGGGGTACCTGACCCACCTCTCCCGCGGGAAGTCCCTGGCACTGCTGGCCAGCCCCATCCGCACCAGCTGCTTCACCACCTGCTTGCGCGTCCGCCCGGGGGGCGGGAGATGGGCCAGGATGGCAGCGATCACGTCCTCGCCTGTGGGAGCAGGAGGTGCAGGGACAGAGTCCCTGCTGCCCCCCGGGGGTCCCACTGCCCCCCAACCCCCGGGTCCTCCAGTACCTTCCACCTCCTTGTATTTCCAGTACAGCTCCCGCAGCTCCTGCTCTTCCTGGGGGCTCCAGGGGCGGGCCCGGCTCTTGGGAGCCCTGGGCGGGGGCAAAGGGGAGGTGAAGGGAGAGGAGGGGGACTCAGGGGGGGTTACAGCCCCCTGCCTGACCCCACTCACCCCTCTCCCTCCTGCAGGGAACTGTAGCCCCTGGTCATCTCGCAGACGGTTGTCGGGTTCTTCCAGAAGAGCAGCTCCACAAAGGCCTTTTTGTTGGTGGCTGCCAGCGCAAAGAACTTGCCCAGGATGAATTTGGCCAAGGCCACCAGCTCCTGGGGAGAGCAGGACGGAGAGTGGGACTGGGGGAGGTGGGGACAGAGCAGGGCTGGGGACATGGGGACAGACCCCTCCCCGGGGGGCTCGGGGGTCCCCCTGACCTGGTAAGCGCCGGCCGCAGGGTCGCTGAGCAGGCGGTGGAAGAGGGTGAAGAGGGAGAGCTGGAAGAGCAGGGGCTCCATGTGCAGGTCACGGGCCAGGCGGTGCAGCAGCCGCGCGGCGCAGTGGTTGGTGCGGGGGCTGTTCCGCGCGTACCCCCGGAGCAGCAGCACCAGCGCCCGCACCACGGGGCCACAGGCGAACCTGCCACGGCCCCCCGTGAGTGAGGCTGCCCCAGAGCCAGGGCCCCCACACCCCCGGGGCCACCCAGCCCTTCTCACCGCTTCAGGTAGTCGAGGAAGTTGAATTCCTTCTCTGACACTTGCACGGTCTCCTCCTCCTCCTCCTCTTCCTCATCCTCCTCTTCCTCGTTCTCCGGCTCCTCGGGCTCAGGGGGTGCGTGCCCTGCGGTGAGACGTGCTGAGGGTCTCCAAAAGGTCTCCCTCTGCTGGCCCAGAGCTCTCCCCCTCCCCGGTGTCGGAGCCAGGGACTCACGGGGCAGGGGAGCGACGAGGATCTCCCGCAGCAGCCGGGTCTCCTCAGGCGGCCCCGCGTCAGCAGCTCCGAACACGTCCCCTTCTGGCCAGACGTCCCTGGGGGGGACAGGGGGACAGGCTGGCACCGTGTCCCAGCACCCCGGACACGGGATGGGAATTGCAGTGCCGGTACCTGGCAGAGCGGAGCAGCCTCAGGGCCTGGGGCACCTGGGAATGCCACAGGCACTCCTGGATCCGCAGCAGAGCCTCTGCGCGCTGCTCCTCCACCGGCGTCTCCGAGGCGGCGTCGAAGGGCACCACGTCCTCGGGGAGGGGCACCTCGCCCTGCGGTGGAACACCGTCACCCTATGCTCCACCAAGACCCCCAGAGCCCCCCACGGGGCTGGACCCTTCCCTGGTACCTCCAGGCAGGCCTGGAGCTGCGGGGCCAATCCTGCCCACAGCTCCTCCAGCTCTGCAGTGCTGGGTGGCAGCGGGGTGAGGGCTGCAGGCGCCCGCGGCTTCTTCTTCCTGCGGACACGTTTGCTCTGGGGGGACAAGGACGGGCTCAGGAGGGGCTGCCCGACCCCCCAGGGTCCCCCTCGGCGGGGCAGCCGTGCCCCACCTGCACCACGAGGCTGGCGCGGCCGCGGCAGAAGCGCTCCAGCATGCGGAGGAACAGGTGGGCCGTCTCCACCAGGTCCCGCAGGAAGCTGCGCGGCTGCTTGGTCTCATCGAACTTGCGGAAGAGCGTCAGGAAGAGCTCCCGGTATTCCATCACGTAGAAGATGTTGCCTGGGGAGGAGGGGGGTCAGTGGGAGGTGGGGGGTCAGACACCCCACCCTGGGACGGGCAGAGGGACAGAGGGACTCACTCTTGATGACCTGGCTGCTGTCCCGCACCGCCTGCTCAGGGGACCGGTCCATCTCCTGCACCGTCCGCAGCAGCTCCTGGTACGCCTTCAGGGCCAAGTGCATCCTGGGGACAGCAGGGTGGTGACCCCAGGTGCCCGGGGAGTCCCAGACACCAAGGGTGACCCCAGGTGCCCGGGGAGTCCCAGATGCCCAAGGTGCTCACCTGCGGACCCAGGTTGTTGCCTCCTTCTTGTCCATCAGGGCCATCTCGTAGTACTTGGTGAGGTTCTGCTCGATGAAGTGGAAGGCACGGACACTCACTGTCTCCGACACCAGCTCCGGGCGGAAACCGCGGCGCCGGTTGAAGGCCATGAAGAAGGCGGTGGCCCACAGGTAATAGGTCTCGTCGTGCTGCTGAGCCTTCTCCCTCAGCAGCTGGTCCTGGGGGCGGCAGGGGGGTGGTCAGAGGGGTCCTACAGCCCAGGGAGGAGGTCCCAGACCCCAGAGCCGCTCACCTTGACCAGCAGCATCAGGCGGTTGTAGCAGCCCTCCAGGAAGTCCTGGCAGAAGTGGCGCAGGAAGAGCCGGACGTTGCGGGCAGAGCGCCGGGAGGGCTCGGATTCGGGGGCCGCCTGGCGCCGCCGGGGCACCCGCCGGGGCTCCTTGCCCAGGTCGTGGCTGTAGCTCTTCAGCTGTGGGGGACAAGCTGCCAGACTGACACCCCAGTGTGACATCACCCCTGTGCCCCCCACCACAGCTCCGTCCCCATGCCCCCTCCAATGCCTCTGGCCCCAGGATCCCCACCACGTCCCTGTGCCCTGTGCCCCCCCCATGTTACCATCCCGGTGCCCTCTGCCACATCCCAGGCCCCACGCCCCCTGCCACGTCCCCGTCCCTGCGCTCACGTTGTGCAGCCCTTTGTGGAACACGACGTCCCGCTCCCCGATCGACTTCAGGCCCTGCAGGACGTAGGAGCCGCCGAAGCGGGAGTGCCTGGGCAGGGGGACAGGGGCTGAGCGGTGCTGGCCCCACCGTGGGGTCCCAGCCCTGCCAGGGGTGTCCCCCCTCCTCACCTGGACGGGCGCTGCAGTGCCCGGGCCCTCTTCTCCGCCAGCTCCCGCTGCCGCAGGGTCTCCAGCTCCCGCGTGTCCTCCCCGTGCTCGGCGCCTGCCGGCCCCTGTCCCAGCGCCGCCAGCTCCTCCGGGTTCTACCGGCAGCTCCATCAGCTTTGCGGGGTCCCGGGGGGGCTCCCTGCCCCGCCGGCCCTGCCCCAGCTCACCTGGTCGCGGAACATGAGGGAGATGATCTCCAGGACGTGCAGGGCCCACTGCTGCTCCACCTGGGCGCTGGCCAGGAACTTGAGCAGGTCGTCCATGCCGCTGACGTGCAGCGCCCACAGCACCCGGTCGTGCACGCTGGCGTCCCCGTCCACGCCCTGGGAGCACGGTGGGTGGGCAGTCGGGGTCTCCACAGAGCCGTGGCGGCCCCAAACTCGCAGGGGAAGCAGGGAAGGGCCCCATCCCGGTACCTGCTCCTCCGTGGGGTCCGGGGGGACGTGCAGCACATTGCGCACCAGCAGCAGGATCCTCTCGATCAGCAGCGTGTCCTCCTCCTGTCGCTGCTCCCAGTCCTGGGGGCACGGAGCCGTCAGAGCCCCCGCAGCCCCCAGCAGGGACAGACCCCACAGCCCCTCAGGGACTCACCAGCTGCAGGAGGTCGTAGAGCTTCTCACTGAGCACCACGAAAACCTTCTCGTTGGCGAAAGCCTGCAGAGACCCCACGTGAGCGAGGGGGCCGTGGGCAGAGACCCCACCCAGGGCCCTGCCCCGAGCAGACTCACCTCCTTGTAGGCTTGCAGGTAGGACAGCACCTGGAGAAAGTGGTGCCGGGAGGCGGCATCCGCGGGCACTTTCCCGAAGCAGAGCAGGGCTGGCTGCGTCAGGTTCACCATCAGCCTGCGAGGGGGTGGAGGGGTGTGAGGGACCCCTGCTCTGCAAGGAGCCCCCGCAGGGCCCCCCCAGGTCCCCAGACCTGTCTCTCGGTACCTGACAATGGCATCGAAGAGCACCTTGTCCTGCGGGTACTGCACCAGGATGGGCAGGAGGTCGTTCTGCAGGATCTGGGCTGCCCCCAGCTGCTGCCGCACGTCCCGGGTCTCGTCCTCATGGCGCAGGTACCGGATCAGGTCCTTGACGCTCTCTGGGGGGACACGGGGCCGTGAGTCCCCGCCCAACCCGGCCTCACCGCCCCCGCCCCAGCGTCCACCTACCCAGGCAGTCGGGCTCCCGGTGGTAGACGTCACCCTCCAGGTAGCCCAGGGCGCTGCAGGTGGCCAGGAGCTCGCAGTTCATCATGAACCAGTCCATGCAGCGCGGGGTTGCGCACCGGTACCGGCACCGGGGGCCGCCTGCGGGGCACCGTCAGCGCCGCCGTGTACCCCCGCTCTGGGGTCCTCCGGGACCCCCCTGCCCGTCCCGGACTCCCGCGATACCGCCCCACCCGTCGCTCCCAGTACCCCCCATACCAGAGCACCCCGCTTTTCCCCGTCCACCCCGATGCCGGTGGCGGATCCCCGATCCCGGAGCATCCCCCAGTCCCAGTCCCCTCCAATACCGGCGAACATCCCAATCCCGACCCCGCCCTATGCCGGCCCACCCCACAGCCCCGGTCCGCCCCGATCCCGGAGCACCCCCCGCTCCCGGTCGTCCATGAACCCCACCCCGCGATCCCGGAGCACCTCCCAGGCCCCGGTACCCTCCTCGATCCCGGAGCACCCCCCGATCCCGCACTCTCCCAGTCCAGTCTGGGTTGCTCCCGGTCCACTGCGAATCCTCATCACCCCGCAGCCCCTGGCCCCCCTGATCCCGGTGCCCCCCGATCCTGGTGCCCCTCCCGATCCCGGTGCCCCCCGATCCCGGTGCCCCCTGATCCTGGTGCCCCCGATCCTGGTGACCCCTGATCCCGGTGCCCCCTGTCCCCGCTCACCGCCGCCCCGTCCCCGTGTCCGCCGCGGTCCCGGCGCGGGGGCGGCGTTATACAACCGTCCCAGTTCCCGCGGAACGAGGCCCCGCCCCGCGCGCCCCTTCAAGCGGCAACCCTCACCCGTACTCCCTGTGGGCCCTCTGACCCCCCTCCTCAGCTCCCCCATCCCACCGCCCACCACGGCTGCGAACCAGCGGAGCGATGCCACGCCGTGCCCCGCCGCCCCCTCCCCTCGATCCCCGCCCGGCGGCGCTGGAGCGGGGGGGACACACAATTCTCTCTGCGGGGACGGGGCGAGTGGAGACGTTGCCCTTTTAAGAGCGGCGCTGGCAGGGCGTGGTCTCGCCGCGTGCGCGGGAACGGGGGCATCTCCCGCCACCTCCGCGCGGTGCCCGGGGGGGCTCCGGTGCGTGTCCCCCCTCTCCGGTCCCTCCCGGACCCCGGCGCCGGGCACGGCCGCGAGCGGTTACCAAAATAAAAGAGCAGGTTTAATTCACCGAACACAGAAGTCCCGCCGCGGCGGGGCGGGGCGGCCCCGGCCCGGTACGGGCGGCCCCGGGCAGCCCGGTGCCCGGTTGCGGGCAGCCCGGTGCCCGGTTGCCGGCAGCGGGGGCTCCTCCGCCGCCCGCCCGCCGCGCCGCGCCGCACACACACGCACCACACGCACCGCGGCGGCCCCGTCACAGCAAAGCAGCGGCGGGCGCGGGGCCGCGCCCCGGGACGGGCCCCGTTACAGCCCCTGCGTCTTCAGCTCCAGCGGCTCCGCCGGCGACTCGGGCGGCGGCTCGGCGGCGGCGGCGGTGACGGCGGCGGTGACGGCGGCGGCGGGCGGCTCTCCCTTGAGGGCGGCCAGGCGCTCGGCCAGGCTGCGCGGCCGCGGGCACAGCGCGAACTCGTACAGCACCGCGCCCAGCGCCGCGCCCAGCAGCGGGCCCGCCCAGTACACCTGCGGGGGGGCGGTGTGGGCACCGGCACCGGGCGGTCCCGGCCCCGCCCCCGAGGCATGGCACCCTCCCCGCCGACCCCCGGGGCCGCGGGCACCCGGTGAGCGGGGAAGGCGACCGCGTGCCCCGCCCCGGGATATCGGGGAGGGGGCAGGACCTGCCTCCCGGTGAGCAGCGAGCGGCCGCATCCCCGCCAGGATATCGGGGGGTCAACAGCTCTGGGGGTCCACCAACACCCCGGGGCGCTGCTGTCACCACGGTGACACCGGCAGCCGCCCGGAGGGGACACGGCGGCTGGGGCAGGGCGGGGACAAGCAGGGAGGGACTGGGGGGGCCCGGGGCAGGTCTGGGGGTCCCCGTCCCCCCCCACTTACCCAGTGGTTGGCGAAGTTGCGGGTGATGACGGCGGGGGCGAAGGAGCGAGCGGGGTTCATGCCGGCGCCCGTGTAGTGGATCTGTGGGAGGACAGGGTGATGGGGGGCTGGACAGCAGCCCCCCAGGTCCCACTCAGCCCCTGGAGTCCCGGCAGGGGGGTCCCCGTGGACGCCCTTACCCCGAAGAGGTGGCCGAGGGCGAGGGAGAAGCCGACGGGCACGGCAGCCATGCTTGGGCGCCCGTCGTGACGGTCGTCGAAGCTGGCGAGGACGCAGAGGACGAACTGGGCTGTCAGGAGCACCTCCACCACCGTGCCCTGGCCTGGGCCCACACCAGGGTGAAGCTGCACGGGAAGAGGGGCTAAGCATCCTGCAGAGATGGTCCCCCATTCCCCCCAGCAGCCCAAACCCCTCCTCGTTACCCCTCCACACCCCCCAACCCCACTGAACCCCAAACCCTTCCTCGCCCCAAACCTCTCCCAGACACCCAGCCCCCATTACTGTCCCCTCAAACGTCCCCGAACCCCTCAACCCCACTCCCCCTCCCTGCCCCACAGCCCAGCCCCGCAGACACCCCCAGCCCCCCGGTGCCCCCGCTCACCGCGCTGAGGCCGAGGGTGCCGCGGACGGGGCCCGGGGTCACCCCGTAGAGCACCCCGGCCCCGGCCAGCGCGCCCAGCACCTGGGCCAGCAGGTAGCCCACGGCGCGGGGCAGGGAGAGCTGCGAGACCATCAGGAAGGCCAGCGTGACGGCCGGGTTGACGTGGCCGCCGCTGACGTGGCCCAGCGCCTGCACCACGGTGGCCTGGGCCAGCCCGAAGGCCAGGGCAGACCCCACGACGCTGGGGGGGCCCGGGGCCCAGCGCAGGGAGGCCCCCAGCCCCAGCAGGGCATAGAGGAGGCTGCCCAGGAACTCGGCCAGGATGGCCCTCCAGAAGGAGGACGAGCGCAGCTCCCGCATGGCCTGGCCCCGCTGCCCTCCACGGCCCCGCTCCCCTCCCCGGGGGCCGCCCGTGCCCACCTTTATAAGGGCCCCCCCGGGCCGGCCCCAGGGGTGGGATCCCACCTCTGCCACCCCCCCTTAACTGCTTCGCTGCCCGGGGTGCGGGCGGGTGACACGCAGCAAGGAACCCCCCCCGAGCCCCACTGGGACAGCCCTGCACCCCCTGATAGCGGGGACCCCCCCAGAGCTGTGCCCCCCCATCCCTGGGGTTGCCTGGTGTGGGGGGCTGTGACCCACAGGTGCCCTCCATGTGGTTTGGGGGATCCCCATGCTCGGGGCAGCTCTGAGGCACCGCCAACCCCCCCTCCAGTGCTTTGGGGACACTTTGGGGCAACCCCATCAGGAGCCTCCCCTACCCAAAGGGGGTTCCCGGGTGGCTCCCCCTGGTTCAGCCCCACTGGGGGCTGCGGGGGCGGCCCCCCCGCTGCTGTTGTCTGCGGGAGGGTTTATTCAGCCCGGCTTAGCGGGCGCTGAGTCCCCGGCCGGGGGGATTAGGGCTCGGCCCGGCCATTGGCGCCCGCCAGAATCTGCCGGGGCTGCAGAGGCCACCACAAAGGGCTTTGCTGTGCTCAGCGCCCCGGCACGGGACGGGCCAACGGGGGGTCCCGGCCCCCACCCTCACCGGGGGGCCGCTGGGAGGGGGCACCCACCCACCAGCAGCCCCAGCGTCGTCGCGGCACCCTCATGGTCCGAGGGCGGTGGTCGGGACCCCCTGCCCATCACAGCATCACTCCGGGCCCACCTGCGACCCCCAAACACCTTTAATCCCCCCGGGGAGGCAGAGGGGGAAGTAAAAGGTTGGGGGGGGCTGGAGCCATCGTACAGGGACCCCCATCCCAGTGGAGGGACACCGTGCCCTGGCTGCCCCCCACGGAAGGCTCTGGGGGCTGTGGGGAAAGGGCATCGGGGTGTCGAGGATTGGTGGGGGGGATCAGAGAGGGGGTCCAGGGGGCTCACGCCGTGCCCTGATCCCGCTCAGCCTGGGTGGCTTGGGGGCCACGGGCGGAGGGTGAGGAAGGGGATGGGCTGGGGGTCTCCACCAGTGCCACGTCCCGGCAGGCGAGGCAGGCGCCCAACTTCTCCCGGGAGGCTCCGGGGGCCAGGAGGAACTCGTAGGAGAGCCCGGCCAGCACCGCGCCCAGCACCGGCCCCAGCCAGTACACCTGGGGGGGGCACGGAGTGTTGGGGGGTCCCAGGGACTGGGGGGACACAGGGGGCAGGGGCTGCTCAGGGTATGGGGGGACCAGGGAGCCACACCAGTGATGGGGACTGAGATGAGGTTGACCCATCCCTGGGAGACCCACCCAAGGGAAGAGAAGACCTGGGAACCCTGTCCTGGGGTGGGGACGGGACTGCTGGGGGTCCCACTCTGCATCTGGGGGACCCACCCCCACCGTGGGGCCTCTGAGATGACTCGGGGGTGCCCCCAACTCACCCAGTGGCGGTCCCAGACCCCGGTGACGACAGCCGGCCCCAGTGCGAGTGCGGGGTTCATGCTGCCCCCCGAGAATGGCCCCTGTGGGGCAGACGGTCAGGGGCTGGCGGGGCAGTGACCCCCGTGAGTGGAAGGGGCACTCTGGGGGGTCCTTACCGCGGCCAGGGCACCGGTGGCCACGGCGCTGCCCAGGGCCAGCCCGGCCTGCGGGGTCGCGCGCTCGGCCGTGGCGAAGGCGGCCAGCGCCAGCTGGAAGGTGCCGAAGGTCTCCCAGGCCAGCACCGTCCCCGCCGTCCCCACCTGCAGGAGGGACACCTGTCCACCCACCCCGATTGCCCCGGGAGGGCGCGGGGCTGGGGACACTCACCCCGGTGAGCGGGCCGGTGCCGGCCGGCAGGCCGCGGCAGCGAGCGAAGCCCCCGCGCACTGGGCCAGGACCGCCAGGGCCCCGCGGAGGACGCCGAGCTTGCGGGTGCACAGCAGGGCCAGCGTGAGCGCGGGGTTGGCCTGCGGCCCCCCGAGGGTGCAGACCAGCCCCCCGGCCGCCAGCCCCCCGGCCAGCGCCGGCGCCAGGGGGCCGGGGCCCGCCGAGGCCCCCAGCACCACCCCCACGAAGATGAGGGTCCCCACGGCCTCCACCAGCACCCCCCGCCAGAGGCGGCCGCTGCACAGCTCCTGGGGGGAGAGGGGGGTCACCGCTGGGACTGGGGGACGTGGTGACACGAGGCTTTGGGCATGGGGGTCCTCCAGGGGCCACGTACCGTGGGGAGGGGGTACCCCAGGGGAGGGGTCCCTTGGGGATGGAGACCGTGGGCATGGGGCCCTCAGCACCCGGGCACTGCGGCGATGGAGCACCCTGGCAATGGGGGCACCAGGCCGGGAGACACGGGGGGGCTCACAGGGGGTTATGGGAATGGAGGTGGGGGCCGGAGCCGCAGTGGGGGGCACACAGGGACCCCTGTGCCAGGCTGGGGGGTCCCCATGAGTTAGGGCACTACTCACCCACCCCCCGTGGCAGGGCAGGACCCCGGGGCTGTGGCTCTGGGGGGACGGGGGCTGTTGGCAGGGCCTTACCTCCCTGATGGCCATGGCACAGCTGTGGGCACCTCCTACCCCAGCACTGCCACCCCTGGGGGCTGAGGGGCTGGACAGAACCCTGGGGGGGCTGCAGGGTCCTTGGCTTGGGTTCAGAGCATCCCTGGGTGCCATGGCAACCCCCCCCCCCTTTGGGGTATTGCCAGGACGACCGGAGATGAAAGGCCGGGATGAAAGGCTGGGGGTGAGGGAAGGGGGGTCACACACCTGGGATGGGAATGGGAACGGGGCTGCCCCTGAGGGGACACGGGGGGCTCACACGGATGGGACAAGACAGGGGAGAGGGGCTGTGGGGGTGGCACAGCTGGGACAGGCACAGGGGCAGGGCTGTCCCTGCCAGGCGGGTCCCTGGGGGGGGTGGAGGGTTCGGGGGACCCCCCGTGCCCCCCCGGGCCGTGGCTCTGCCAGCTCAGCACCGGCCCCGCACGTGGGGTGAGTCAGCGGGCGAAGGGCCTGGATCAGCACGGGGGGGGCACGGGGGGTGCTGAGCCCGGCAAAGCCAGAACAATCCGCGGCCACAAAGGGCCAGGACAGCGCGGGGACAGCGGGGGGACACGGGGGCAACGTGCGGGAGGGACACGGGCGGGGGACACTGCGGGGACAAGGGGCCCTCAGGCGGGTGGGGGCCACCAGGGTCCCCCAGACCCTCTCCCAGGCCGGGCACAGCTGCGTTGGGAGCCCCTGTTGTGCTCTCCAGGTTGGGGGGACCCCTGTCCTGCCTCCCAAAGGCCTATGGGACCCCCCCATCCTGTCCCCACCCAGGCCAGGGAGTCCCCTATCCTCTGCTCGGGCCCCAAAGCCCTGTGGGACTCTCCATCCTGCCCCTCACATTCCAGGGATGCTGTGTCACCCCACAGAACTTTGAGGACCCCCAAGACTCCCCATCCTGCCTCACAGACACCCCCCTAGGATGTCCCAGTCCTGCCCTATAGATGCTCAGGTGCCCACAGATAGGCCCAAGGTGCCCCACAGACCCCCAAGACCCCCCCGTCCTGCTCTGCAGACCCCTCAAGAGTCCCAGGTGCCCCCACAGATAACCCAGAGTCCCCCATCCTGCCCCAGATACCCCCCCAGATGCCCCAGGACACCCCAAGCCCGCCCTGCAGACCTTCCCAGGTGTCCCACACTGACCCACAGACCCCTGGGTGACCCTAGGACCCCCATCCTGCCCCCCACCCCCCCCACTCCCCTCGCCAGACTCCAAGATGGCGGCGCCCAGTGCGGCCTCAGCCGGAGTCACGTGACGGGGGAAAGGGTGGTACCGAAATGGCGACCGGGGAGTGCAACCACGTGACCGCCCCTCCAAAATGGCCGCGCCCACCATTCGGGCGGCGCGGGGCGGGGCCAAAGGGGTAATGGCGGCGGTGGGCGGGGCTTCGCTTAAAGGGGCCGCTCGGTACCCGTGGGGAGGGGGACGGAGTGGGGGGACTGAGACCCCTCAGAGGGGCAATCCGAGACAACCCCCCGAGCGGGGGGTCAGGGCTGGGCGGGTTGAGCCCCCCGCTTGGGCTGGGGGCGGGTGGAAAAGGGGGGATCGGCGCTAGGAGGACCCGCCCGGATTCCAGGCTGGCTCCCCCGGGCCGTGACGTCACGCCCGGTCCCGGCCCTCGCGCTCCGGGGAGGAGTGGAGGGGGGGAAAAAAAAAAAAAAAAAAAAGAAAAATTAAAAAAAAAAAATATATAATAAAAATGCTGCTGTCGGTGCCGCCGCGCTCGGGGCTCCCCGCCTTCGCCTACAACAAGGCCGGCAAGAAGGTACCGCGGCCTCAGGGCGGGGGAGCGGCGGGGGGGACCCTCAGAGCGCCCGGGGCCGTCCTGAGGGGACGGGCCTGGAGCGGGGTGTGTGTGTGGGGGGGAAACAACCCCTATGAGCGGCCCCCCCGGGGGTCCCGCTTGGGGGGGGTGTCCCCGCTCGTCCCCACAGGGACGAGCGGGGACACTCCCCAAGCGGACCCCGGGCAATCCCTGCTCCGGTACCGGGGGTTTCCCTCCCTCCCCCACAAAAACCCCAGACAGGCGGTCAAAGAGGAGGAGGGGGGGTCACCCCCACGACCCTTCCCCCCCACACCGATTTGGGGGGGACAAGGGACGGAGGGTGGGGGAGAGGATGAGAATCCTGGGTGGGTGGGTGGGGGGTTAAAGGGGTCCCAGGATGGATGAGGGGGGTCGAGGGGGGGGATGATGGAGACCCTCCCCCGGTTCAGAGGAGGGTGGGAGATTGGTGGGTGCAGGGGTCCCCGGGGGTGAGAATGATGATGATGATGATGATGATGATGATGATGATGGAGACCCTCAGGGAAGAAGGACGGGGGCCCGGGGGTGGGGAGGGAATGAGGGGGTCCCGTGGTGGATGATGGGATCCAGGGGGGATGATAGGGGTCCAGGGGGGGTCTTTGGGGTCATGGGGGGGGATCCTGCGGTGCGTGGGTGGCCATGGGTGATTCATGTTTGCACATCATCAGCCCAAGAGATTTTGCAGCTGCCTCTGGCTGGAGGGTCCCTGGGGGTGGGGGGGATGTCTCGTGCCCGGGGGGACCCCCCCCAGGATGGGGAGGGTCCGTCCCTGTGCCCTGCTGGGGGCTTTGGCTGCTCTCCCCACACCCACACTGTGTCTGGAGGCCGGGGGTGTTGGGATTTGGGGACTGAGGGTGTTGGGATTTTGGGGGCCTGCAGCAGAGCAGTGGTGGGCACTGACCCCTCCTGACCCCCCAGCAGCCCTATGTGCCCCCGGCACAGCCCCTGGGCCCCCCCAGCCCCAGCCCTGGCGGGGGAGCCCCGGACCAGCTCAGCAAGACCAACCTCTACATCCGGGGGCTGCACCCTGGCACCACGGACCAGGACCTGGTCAAGCTCTGCCAGCCGTGAGTGGGCTTGGGATCCCCCCCTGGGGCTGGGGTCCCACTGTTCCCCCCTCCAGAGCTCCCCCAAGGGGGCTGGGGGTCCTGCTGGGCACCGACTCCCCCTTTGTGCCCCCCTCAGCTACGGGAAGATCGTCTCCACCAAAGCCATCCTGGACAAGACGACCAACAAGTGCAAAGGTGGGGGGGTTGTGGGGTTATGGGGGGCGCTCAGGGGAGCTCTGGGGGTCTCTCTCACCACCTGCTCTCCTCCCCAGGCTATGGCTTCGTGGACTTCGACAGCCCCACGGCGGCCCAGAAGGCCGTGACGGCGCTGAAGGCCAGCGGGGTGCAGGCCCAGATGGCCAAGGTATGGCCCCCCGGCCCCCCAGAGCTCCCTGGGACCCCTCTCTGCGGGTCCCACAGCCCCCTGACCCCCCCACCACCCACAGCAACAGGAGCAGGACCCCACCAACCTGTACATCTCGAACCTGCCTCTGGGCGTGGACGAGCAGGAGCTGGAGGCGCTGCTGAAGCCCTTCGGGCAGGTGGTCTCGACCCGTATCCTGCGGGACCCCCACGGGGCCAGCCGAGGGGTGGGCTTCGCACGGTATGGGGGGGCCCAGGGGGAATGAACTGGGGGGCTGCAGGGGGCAAAGCGTGGGGCTGGGGGGGGCCAGGAGGATGGGGAATGCGGGGGTGGCATGTGGGGCTGGGGAGCTCTGTGGGCCCAGGAGCGTGGGGGTGCCTGGAGCTGGGGGGCTGCACAGGGTGGGGGACACACACGTCGTGCTGGGGGTTTGGAGGAACGAGCAGTGCTGGGGAGGCAAAGGCATGAGGGGCTGCACAGAGCTGGGGGCCTGGGAGGGTGGGGTGTACAGGGCTGGGGTGGGGAGGGGCTTCTCAGGGCTGGGGAAAACATGATGCTTTAGAGGCCCAGGAGAATGGGGGTACTGGGGAGTGCACAGGGCTTGGGGGCTCGGGAGGATGGTGGTGCTTATACCTGGGGGTGCAGGAGGGGCTGGGAGGGCATACAAAGCTGGTGGGGGGGGCCCATTGGTGGCCCCCACCCCAGCCCCACTCCCCCCAGGATGGAATCCACGGAGAAGTGCGAGGCCGTCATCACCCACTTCAACGGGAAGTACATCAAGACACCCCCGGGGGTGCCAGGTGGGCTGGGGGGGCTCTGGGGGGCTTTGTGAGGGGTGCTGGGGGCTGGCAGGTGGCACTGACAGCCCCCCCATAGCCCCCCCAGACCCGCTGCTGTGCAAGTTTGCTGACGGGGGGCAGAAGAAGCGGCAGAGCCAGGGCAAGTTCGTGTCCAACGGCAGAGCCTGGGCCCGGGATGGCGACGCGGTGAGGGGGGTCCTGGGAAGGGGAGGGGTCACACCCCGGGGCTGCTGGGGGGGCTAGGGCAGTGCTGACCCTTGTCCCCCCCCAGGGCACCGTGACCTTGGCCTACGACCCCGCAACGGCGCTGCAGAACGGGTGGGTGCCCCCGGGTGCCCCCGGGCCCGGCGGGGTGGGGGCTGCCGGCCACGGCCCCCCCAGCCCTGACCCCCCACCCTGCAGGTTCTACCCGGCGCCCTACGGGCTGGCCCCCGGCCGGATGCTACCCCCCGCCGCCCTGGCCCCCTACCTGCCCTCCCCCGTCTCCTCCTACCAGGTATGGGGGTAGGGGGGTCCTGGGAGGGGGGTCCCCACCTGGGGAGGGGTGGGGTGCTCAGGGAGCCCCCCAACCCGCTCCCACCCGCTCCCACCCGCAGGTCCACGGCCCCGCCTGGATGCACCAGTCCTACCTCGTGCAGCCCACGGTGAGCGCAGGGAACCCCACCCAGTGCCACGCCCACATCTACCCTTCCCTGATAGGTGGGAGGGGGTGCAGGAGCCACACCCACTGCCCCACCCATGCATGCACCTCCCACTTTGTCACACCCGCTGTAGACAAGCCATGCGCATTTTCAGCAGACCCCACTCCCAGCCCCACTCTGGGGCTCCCTGACCCCTTGTGTCCCTCCCTCTGTGTCCCCATGGCCTTGGCCCCCATGTCCCCCACGTCCCTCTGTGCTCCCCCCAGTGTCCCCTTGGAGTCCCCAGTCCCCAGGACTCCCCCATGACCCCACCATGACCCCACCATGTCCCCCCTGTGTCCCCCTGTCCCCGCTGTGCTGACGGAGCCGTGCAGGGCGCGGTCCTGGCCCCCGCCCGTGGAACATGCCGTCCCCTCCAGCCCTCCGTGGTGGCCCCCTGGCCCAGCAGCTCGGCCACCTCTCGCTGGGCAGCACCGGCACGTGTAGGACCCCTGACCTCCCGCCCGACCCCTCCCGGCCCTGCCCAGACCCCCACCCACACCCCGCTGTCCCCAGTACGTCCCCGCCGCCGCCGCCGTGCCTGGAGCCTTCATCCCTCCGTACCCGCCGGTGCCGCCGGCCCTCCCGCTGGAGGTGAGTGGGGGGTTCTGGGGGGGCAGGATTTGGGGGGGCAGCGTTTGGGGGCCCACTAACCCCTTCCCTCAGGACGGCGGAGCCGCCCCGACCCACGGCCCCATCGAGTCGCCGTCCGAGCCCGGCGCCTTCCCCTACCCCTACCCCAAGTAGCGGCGGGGGGGCCCGGCCCGAGGGACCCCCCCACCCCTTGGGAGGGGCTGCACCGGGACCCTCACCCGGCTTGAGGGACCCTGCACCCCCTGGGGGGGCTGTGCCGGGACCCCCGCCCGGTGCTGCCCCCCCACTGCCTGGGAAGGCCCGTGCCCGGCCGGGGGTCCCTGAGCCCGGGGGGGGCCAGAGGGTCCTGCCGCCTCCCCTGCACCCCCCCGCCCTCGGAGGGCTTTTTCTTCCTCCCGCATTTTCTAAAAAACTAAAAGGAAAAAAAAAAAGAAAGAAAAAAAGAAAAAGAAAAAGAAAGGCAAAGCCGCTGCGCGCCCAGGGGCCGGGGGTCCCAGCTGCCCCTCGTGCTTCCAGGGCCCGCGGCCGCCGGCCCCGGTGCCCCCGTGCCTTCTGCTGCCCGGTGCCCCCGGCTCGGGGTCCGGGTGGGGGCGATGGTGGACCCCCCCACACCAGTCTCCGGGCACCAGCCCCCCCGCAGGGCCGGGGGTGCTGCCCCCACCTCTCCACACCCCCGCTATTCCTGCCCCGGGGTCGGTCAAGATGCATAACCCCCAAGCCCCCAAGCTTTGACGGGCGCCCCAAGGGTCAACCAGGCACTTTAGAGCCCCCGTGCCCCTGGGGACCCAGCCCCCTGCTGCCCCCACCCAGCGACAATCAGGGGGTTCCGCGGGGGCGGCTCTTGCAACCAAAGATTGGGGGGGTCGCGGGGGGTGCTGAGCAGCCCCAGCCCCCCCAGGCTTCGCGCCCCCCATGCCGGGGGTCTGTCCGTCCATCCCTCCCCATGGTGTGGGGCAGCCCCCACGCCCCCCCTAACTTGCTTCCAGCTCTGGGGCCGGCCGTGCCCCCCCCAGCTCTGCCCAGGGCCTCCCGGTTCTTCCAGCCCCCCCAGTGCAGGGGGTTCCCAGGGCCCCCCCGGGGCAGCGGGACCCCCCTGCCACACATCTACCTCACCCCACAGCTCGGTGGGTGCCCAGCCCCGGTCTGGGGGTGTCGGGGGGCTTCTGCTCTTCGCCCCCCGCCCTCCCCGGGGTGACGCCACCCCCGCCCCCGGTTTCCAGCCATCACCCACCTCCCCCCCGTTGCTGCTACTGCCCGGCCCCCCCGGGCACGGCCCCTTTGGTCGGGGGGCACCGGCCCCCCCAAGGAAGGAACCAAAGAGGGAGACCCACAACCAGCCCCCCCCAACAGGGGGCTGGGGGGGCATTGGGACCCCCGTGCTGAGCCCCCACCCCGCTGCTGGTTGTGGGGGAGGGCTGAGAACTGGGGTCCCACCAGCTCAGGGGGGGGGCTCGAGCTGCCAAGGAGAAGCCGAGATCCCCCCCTGGCCCCCCCCGGCCCCCCCTTTAATTTATACGTAGCGCATTTTGTACAGGTTTTTAAGTTGCTTTTTTTTAAAGATCTCGAGAGGTTTCTAGTTTTGTATTTTCTTCCTTCTGCTTCCGCGCTCGCCCCCCGCCCGCGCCCCCTGCCCCTTGCGACCCCCAACCCTCCAACCCCCCTTCGAGGTTGGTTTGTTTTTTGGTTTTTTTTTGAATAAAAAGGCAAGAAAAAAGAAATGAGACTCTGTCGTGGGGGAGCAAGGGTCCCCCAAAGAACTGCCCCCCCAGCCTCCCCTCACCCAGGACTCCCCATCCCAACCCCAGCTCAGGGGTCCCCAAAAATGCCCCCACCCCGGTTAGGTGTCATCACCGCCCCCTGTCGCCCATGGTCCCCCATCATCCAGGCCCACCCATCCCAGTCCCTCCTCCCTCAAGGCTCCCAAGCCCCCAGAGCCCCCCGCCCCAGAGGGCTCAGACCACCATGTGTTTATCAAACGTGAGTTGTTTATTCTCGAACGCAACACGCTGGGGGGTCAGAGGGGGTCCTACAACTCATCAGGGAAGGGAGGGGGGACATCAACAGGCAACAGCGAGGAGGCGGGGGGCCCACCCTCCTCCTCTAAACCTTATTAAAAACGAGATTGGTCCTAAAAATATAGAAAGAAATAAATTTAAATTCACAAAAACCTGTACAATTATCAAAAAGTCACTAAAACAACAACGGCTGGTTATAGAAAAGGCAGCGGGGGCACACGATGCTCCCGGGAGGGGGCACACGGTGCTCCCGGCCACGCCACAAGCCGGGGGCACGGGGGTAAAGAGAAACCCCCAGCTCCTCCCCAGCCCCCCCCGAGGGGGTAGGTGCCAACCATGGGGGGCTTTTGGGGGGTGTGGGGGTAACAGGGTGTCAAACCAGGGGGTGGGTGAGGGGGGGGCAACTTCAACTGAACGAACACGAGAACGATACGGAGACTCCCGAAAACTTTCCCACGACAGGAAAAAAAAAAAAAAAAAAAAACAAAAAAAAAGAACAAAAAACCTGACGGATCCGAAACGTGACTTAAAACCACAAAAAAAGTCCGTTACAGCGCAGTTATTTAGATAAAATATAAATATTTATGCGTAATATAAAGTCAGTTCAAATAGACTTCAAATCACCTCTTAGTTCAAAGCAAAAAAATAAAATAAAATAAAAAGTTTCTGAGGTTTATCTGATAGAAAAAAGGCTACTTTGAGACGGGGGGGGGCGGGGGGCGCGGCCGGACCCCCCTGCCCAGGTAGGTGAGTTGTTTTCAGTGCTCTGTGGGGCCGGGGGGGATGCGCCGGGACCCCCAAAACCGCCCCAAACCCCCAGAGCGAGTACCCGTAATAACCTGGCCGGGGGGGCTGGGGGGGTCCTGGCCCCCTCCCGGGCCATCCACAGCATGGGGGGACCTGGGGGGGACCCCTGCCCCAACTCGGGCCCCCCCAGCTTGGGGGGGGACCCCTCCCCACCCAGTGCAACCTCCCCCAGCCCAGTGAGGTCTGGGGGGGCAACACCCGCCTGAGGCTTCAAGTCCATGGTGGGGGGGGGCGAGGGGCCGGCCTCCCCCCCAGGCCTGCAGTAGCGTCCCTGAGGGATCTCAGTCGGGGGCAGGGGGGCGGCCAGGACCCCCCCCAGCCCCGAGGGTCCTCGTGCCGGGGAGGGGAGGGCCGGGCTCTTCCTGAGACTGGAGGCAGGGAAAGGGGTGCCGGGCCCCCCCAGCCCTCCCCAGTTTGGTCCCTGGAGCCAGGTGGGGAGGGGGTGGCGCCCGCCCCGGCTGCGGGGTCCGAGGGCAGCAGGGGGGGCTGCACCGGGGGCCCCCCCTCCCCGTAAAGTGTCTGAGCGGGCAGGGGGTCCCGGCCAGGATGGGGGGCGAGGGGGGGGCTAAGTCCACTTTACTGGCCGTTAATGCATGAGACGCTGCACAGGAGTGCTCGGACATTCACTAAACTATTGCTATCATTAAATATTCTTGGGGGAAGGTGGGGTCTCTCCCTCCTCTGGGGAGGGGTGGGAGGGGGCTGCTTCTGTTCTTAATTAGAAAATTAAATTTAAAGAAAGAAAGAAAAAACACCTCTTTTTTTTTCTTTTTGGCTTACACAGTCTGTGAGTTTGTGGTGCTGGGGGCTGGGGGTCTGGGCAGGATGGGGGTCGGGGGAGACCGGGCAGCGAGAAGGGGCCACGGGGCTGGGGGGGCCCGTTCACGCTGCCAGGGGTGAGGGGGGATGAGACCCCCTGTGTGGGATCAGCAGGCAGCGAGAGCAGCTCCAGAGGAGGCAGTTCGTGGGGTGACGGGGACCCCAGCCCCAAGGGGGCACAGGGGGGGCGCTGGCCCCCTGCTCATGGGTTCGGAGCGTGTTTTCCCTGATAAAATTCCTCCCACCGGCTCTGGAAGAACCGGCGCATGGCGTGGCCGGCGCGGCCCACGGCGGAGTCGTCCTCGTTGAAGGTCTGGCAGTTGTCAAACACCAACAGGGCATCGGCCGCGAACTCCGCCGAGCTCGAGTACCTGCGGGACGGGGACAGGGTGGGTGGGGGGCAGCCGGGGATCCCCACGGGACCCCCATCCCTGGGAGGGACCCCGTCAGCCCCAAAGGAGCCCCATCCCCAGGAGGGAACTCCATCTCCTGAAGAGACCCCAATGACCCCCGAGGGACCCCATCCCCAGGAGGGATCCCCATTCTCAGAAGGGACCCCCACCAGCCCCCGAGGGAACCCCCATCTCTGGCAGAGACCCCGCCAGCCCCAAAGGGAGCCCCATCCCCAGGAGGGGTCCCTGCCCTCCCCGCTCACCCGCCCCGCAGCAGCCGCGTGCGCATGGTGGCGAAGTCCATGGGGTTCTTGATGATCTTGCGGTAGCCGGGGACCAGGCGGGGGTTCACGGGCTCCAGGAAGGGCCACGCGTCCTCGTGAGACTCCATCTCCATCAGGATGATCCTGGGGGAGCAGCAGGGTCAGGGGGAGCCTCCGGGGACGCGGCCCAAGCCCCCTCCCTGCGGCCCCCAGGCCCCACTCACTCGCAGAAGGTCAGGTCGCTGGGCTGGCCCCGCAGGGTCACCCCCCTCCTTTTTGTGGGGGTCAGCCCCTCTCCCGGGTACCGGGGCACGGGCAGCCCCTCTCGGCGGCGCAAGGCCAGGCGGCGCCGTGGGTTCTCCTCCTCCTCCTCCGGGGTCCCCCCGAGACGCCCCCGTTTCCGCTTCTTGCCCCGCCGGGGCGAGACGGGATCCCGGTACTGCCCTGCCTGCGGGGAGGGGACGGGGGTCACGCCGAGCCCGGGGTCACCACCAGCCTGGGCAGGGGGGGGGTCTGCCCAGGGACCTACCCGGGACACGCAGACGGAGCAGAACCAGTCTCCCTCGGGCACCTCGGTCATCCTGGGCCGGTGGCAGTAGAGGTGGCAGCCGCGGTCGCAGCCGTCGCACAGCAGCAGGTGCTCGTCGTCGTCCCCGCGCCGGCACACGAGGCACGTCTGTGGGGAGGGGGAGTTCAGCCAGGCTGGGGAGGGGGCTCTGACCCTCCCTCCCTCGCCCCCCGGTGCGGGGTCTCACCACTCTGTTCACAGATTTCTCCCAGGCGATGGATTTCTCCAGCTGGAAGATGCAGAGGGACACCTGGGCCGCGCTCCGGCACCGCTCCAGCGTCTGCCGCCA